AGTTGTCATTTTAAATCCTCCCCTGTAGGCGGTAAAGGGTCAGATTTATAAAAAAAATATACCAATATATAGGTAAAGACATTGTGCACCTATAAAAAAAAAGTATATAGATTTGGTTATTTTTAAAAAAGTTATAGCAGTTTTAATTTAAAAAATTGAAAAAATTTTGAAAATTAGCGATTTTTTAATTTTTGTCATTTTTTTGGAGATTTCCCCCATTTACGGGGAACGAGGGAAATTTTTTCAATTTTTGAGGGTAATGTACTTCGATTAGATACGATTTGTGATCTTTTGACGTATCGTTGAAAGAAATCGGTTCGATGAGAACTGAGGAAAATTGGTAACAGACACAAAAAAAAATACATCATAGTAAATCAATACCTTCTCAGCTTCACGTCGAAGCTAAAATTTTTATAAAATTGGGAAATTAAATATGAGTGTTACTTAAAATGTCTCAATATTTCAAATTTTAGTATTTTATTTCTAAAAGTAATTATGTATCATTAAATGAATATATTTTAACCAATATCTTTTCAGCTTCGCATCGAAGCTAAAATAGAAATAAATATATCAAAAAATGAATATGTATTAATTATTTAATTTCTAGTAAAAAATCATTTTTACAAGAAATTAAAGATATTAACAATTACGGTCGCCACAAAATGCAGATAAATTAACTTATGATTCAGTTCAGCATACATATATCCTATACGGTACGGTATTGTTGGTCGAAATCAATACCGAAAATTTATGAATGAAAAACAGTGATTACAGGTGCACGAATAGTTTCCAAATTAAATTTTGCATGGAGCGACTATTCAATTAATTATCGTGCTACGATCCTACTAGACACGACGATGCGTAGAATATTCAAAGTTTCATTAAGTAAAGGTACTGAGTCTTGTAATTAACCGTATGTTACTAAACAGTTGAATAGTTTTTCTTTTTATAGATGCAACCTTGTTTCGTTTGTTTATAGGATCGGAAATAAAATAGTGATAAACAAGAATTTTAAAAATACAAATTTTATTTACTATACATTTAATTATTTTGAAAATTTAATTAGGTAAAAATTATAATTATTCGTAACATATTAGTTGAATAACAAATTAAAATTTAATGTTTTCAATTACTCTAAACATAATAAATTAATGTATTTATAGGTATTGGATGATAATGTATGTTAATAGCGGTTGAGTTGGGTTAATAATAAGATAATGAAGGAATCACTCAAGACCTTAGTAGCCTTGAACCCAATAATAAATCTATGTACGAAAATACTTTAGAAAGTACCTTGCATATTGCAAATGACGCCTTTGATTAACTATGAACATAATAAAATATATAAATTTATTAAGATTAAATAAATAATATTATTTGAACATGAACGTTTAATATAATAAACAAACATAGTGAAATAACTAACTCCTGAGAGAATTTTGGTTTAAGGTTGGTTTGTGGTTCGTAACTTTGATAATACCTTTACAATTTTTTTTAAATTAATTTATTTACAGAATATATGGATAACTTTTCAGTTTAGTGCAATTCTTAAAAGAAATAGTAATAATAGTGGTTTAATGAATATATTGTACTAATATTGAATGTAATATTAAATTTTTACAATTAAAGTTATCAAGATTTTGAACAGAATCTTACTTAAGATGAACAAGAAATGAGATGACATTAATAATTATTATTTCATAAATCATTTCACTAAATCGGACGTCGAAAAGTTAGCTATGTTGATGGCAACGGTGAGCAAGCGCTGATCGGTTTGTACCCAAAGCTATTGGCATACATACTCGACGTTGTCACTTCAACGATGTTAAAAAGACTCACGTTTGATGTAACATTTGGGGCGGGTTCTCGTTGGTCAGGCAGCACTTGTTGAACTTTGAACCGCGGCTTACATTATTAAAATATTTATAATTTTAGACAACGATTACCCATAAATGTTTTAATGTGTAAGAATGAAAATAAGTTCGAACATTTTTATAAACTTTAAAATTTTTAAGAGAAGACAGTATTATATATCGTCATAGTGACATAAAATTTGAAATTTCATAAAAAAATATTTTAAACTATAATAATTTTAATATTAAGAAATATCGAATCTTTAAATTTTGATTTGGTTCCGACGACGAACCTTAGAACATTTAGACATTAAACAAAATTAATTTTTATTTTGTACATCCCATAGAATTTAAGTTATAATAATTACATATAATCAAGCGCAACAAATAAGGCAGTAACGTAAAAAATTAAACTTTGACATTATATGGTATTTGAATTTAGGTCTCACTCTTCTTATAACTTACATAGAAATATCGAAAATTCGATTTGAATTGAAATTTAATTTGGAAAATTAAACATATAGGGTGTAATCAGAGAAAAAATTTTATTTTTGTTCTCTCGAAAAATAAGAAAAAGTGAGTTACTGCCTTATTTGTTGCGCTTATCGATGTAGGTATTATTAAAGAGCTTAGATAATAAAATTATTATATAATCTCTCTAATTAGTACCATTTGTTTGCAGATTGATTGACCAAAAATGTTCAAATTTAGTGGATTTGTAGTATCCATAAGCTACTTTCATTATTTTAGAAAAAAAAATTTTTTTTGTTAAAAATGTCGCTTACGCCGATTAGCCTGTAAATAGTAATTATTACATGATATAATGATAAATATTATTCTATGGCACATCTCCATTCAAAATAATTTCAAATATTTTTACATGTGATAATTAATAAAAAAACGAACCGATGAAACTTTAATATTTTAAAATAACAACCTTAAGGGTTCTGCAAGAATTTTTTTTTTGCTCTTGAACATATCAAAATAACGATAATATTGACACTTATTCACTGTACTTGAAATAAATGTATAGAATAGATATAATCTAAATAACTCAATTTGTAACACGATAACGTAGAACACTTAAGCACTTGAACTTCACAAAGATAGTAACTTTTTACCTCAGTGCACGGTGCTTACTTCATGTTGAGTGTACTGTGCACAAATCAAACCCAACCAATTTTGAACAAAGAAAATGCTACTCGTGTTATAACAGAAGCATTATATTTTTTATCTAAAATTAACTTAAATGAAATTACTTAAATTTTAAAGCTATTCAAATTACGTAAGCGACTCTTAAACGATTTATAAAGTTGTTCATTATAAATAACGGTTTTTGCTAAAAATATTTTACACAGGAAAATGTTAATATATTATTAGACATTTAAAGTATATCAGAGAAACTTTAAAAGGCTATATCGTTATATTGCTATAATGCTATAGTACTATAACTCTCATAAGGAGAGTTCAATATAATTATATGAAAAATAAATTATGGCATACTTGATGTATGTTGATATTTTCAAAAAGTTAAAAATTAAACTTCCTTTATAATTATTCAACTGAAGAGAGGATGATTCTTTTATCATGAACCACTCAATTAAAAATACAAATAAAACAAAATAAATAAAAATAATATTGATAATTTTATTATTGTATTCTATTAGTCCCATATTTTTTTTGAAAATTATTAATAATTTTATGCATTTTCAGTAATCATTTTATCTTTTATACCTTCTTAGAGGGATAGCTTTATTTTTTGAAATTGAAACATAAATAATTAACTAACTTATTGTATTTGTTGGATAATGATCTAATTAAGAAAATGACAATCAATTTACGCACCAATATTACAGAAGTTATTAACATTTTTATACCTAAACGGGAGGTGGAGTGAGGCTGAGAAACGTGTTGTAATAAAAATTACAGCACTCGCATATTAACTAAAGTTATTAATTAATTATGAAACACTGGATTAATTTGTTTTTGATGTTAATAATACACAGAAAAACTATATTTTGTTAGAAAAATTAAAATTTTAGTACTTTAAAGTATACTTCAATAGTTATTTAATTTATATACAAATATTAAGTATATTTTTATAACTTTTGTTTTTTGAGTTATTGTTTTCTAAAACTATATAGTTTATTTGATGGCTTAACATTTTAATATTCATAAACATTTAAATTAGATATATAATGTAATAAATAATAATTATTTATAATTAATATAAAAATTTATATTAAAATAATTATTATTTAAAAAGATATCTAAACTATTATTGTAATAATTTTAACAATTTTCTATTAACTATTGATAACTAAAAAATAGCGATTTTGAATTTTTGAACAAATTATAAAACATTTTTACTTTTTTCTTATTAGCTATTAGAGAGTAGTAATATTTTCGGAAATACAATACTAAAAAAATTGTTGAAGAATTTTAAAAAAGTTATTAAATTATATTTAAGAGCTTTTAATATACTATTTTCTTTATTTAATTATCTTAACATTTAATTTTAAATAACTATAAACAACTTTCAATATATACCATTAAAAAATTCTCAAACTTTTTTTTCCTAGGTATAAAAAAAAGTTAAATAATAATAATAACCATTATCTCACCAATAGTCTAATTTTAAAATGATAATAAATTTCAAAATACTGGTTTAAAAGTTAGACCAGACATTTTTTTAATTTGATAATTTTCTTTTTTATTAGTTGGTTATTTATATGTGGCCATTAAAATATATGGTAGACACTCTTATAGGATGTAAAGGATGGACAGAAAAATGTACTCGAAATGAAAAAAATCTAAAAATAAATTTCCGATATTACCAATACCGATATATCTCCAAGTGATTGAATTGGTGGATTGATATAAATTAATCACCTTATAATATAAAAATTACAAAATAACATTATTTAGTTGTATTTTATATTTCATAAAATGTAAGACGAAGATACGAAAAAAATATCATTTTTTACTTAGAATGTATTTTTTATCAAATATCAATAAATATAAAATTATAATGGTATTTAATTATAGGGGACTATTAATTGTCTCTAAAAATAGAGGAGGTAGTTTTAAATAATAGCCATTATATTTTTTAGATTAAAAATAATTAATTATATAATTATTTTACAGATGCATTTAATGATGATGATATTTAGTATGGCCGTGTATTTAATTTTCATTCTTGTCAAACGTTCGGGTGCCATGACACATCCAAGAGTGAAAATGTACGGACCTAAAGTTACTATTGTAGATCACCGAAATCCGGATCCCACTATAATTCCGCTGGACATTATTGAGGAAGCTAAAACATTGAGTCAGTCAGAGCCATACGCAAATGAACCATCTTGTCTAGAGTTACGAATAATGTGGCGTTTATCACAGAGACAAAAGCAATTACTACAGACAGCAAATAATAATATACCAGATACTACTGATCTTTTTTCATACAGCATATGGGATGATTACACAAAACCAAGGTATTCTAATCGTCAAAGATCATTGATAATGGGACGATCGCTGGCCGACAGGTAGAAATTCAATTTTTTCATTCTATTGATATGCTGAACTAAATACATATGTATTAATGAACCAATATAACATTAGTATTAATTTATTTTTAATTAACGAATAGCTATTTATAAAGATGTGCTTGTATATGACTGAAAGTGATATAAGGTATTTATAATGTGGGAAATCGTATCAAGTGGAGGTTTACGATATGGGTGGCCGACCCAAAGCAGTTGGTATAAAGGCGAAGAAAAATAAAAATAATTAACGAGTAGATATTTATGTTGATAAAAATATCCATATAAGCTTTATTATTCTTGCTACTACTTTTGATTTTCTTAAAGTTAGGGATGAAGGATATTAGGTCTGCATCACTTTATTTATCGGCCTATGAAATGATTTGTTTTTTGCTCATCAATTCAATTATTTGAGACAGATTTAATCATTTGGGTGAACATTGGTACTCCAATTTTATAACCCCAAAATTGTTTGTAGTTATAATAATGTAAGCCATCCTTGATTAACTTAAATTATTCTAGCTCCTCTAAACATCTTTTAAAATCTATTAATTAATTTTACATAAGTTGTGTAACTATTTGTAGTAAAATATGACAAAATATACATATTTTTCAAATCAATCAAAAATTTAAAAAAAAAACTAAATTGTTAATAAATAGCACCTTGGAACTCTGTCGAATGGTCTGACACGTCCGCTTTTCGGTAGTAGGAACAATAATCACCAGCCCACTGTACTGTAGTAGTAAAAAGTAAGCTTAAACTCCTTTAGAGTTGTAATTATTATGACTCGACTTGTATAAAAAAAAGTGTTTAGGCAAATCGTATACCAATTTTAATTAGTTCCAATTGAGTTTTTATTTGTATTTTTGGATGATTATTTTTAGTGTAATTGTGGTATATTCGTTGAATTGAAGTTGAAACTTATTATTTTTTAGATATCAAGTTTATTCACAAATGAGGCCTTTCGACAAAGTTGCCCGTTTATCGGGTACATCAAGAAAATTCATGGACGATCAAATGTCCAGAAAAGTAAATTTGTTTCGATTAGGTTATCCTATATCGAAAATGCCTGGTTCTGCTATGCGTTTAACGACCAAAGACAGGTTTCAAGAGCTAAAGGAGCTGATTCGTCACGAGAAAGCCAAACAATACCAAAGTAGTGGTACTGGTGGCAATGGTAGTGAGAATACAGACGGCGATTCAATTCCCGTCATACCTCTTACCGATCTTAGTCCTAATAGTCCTGGTAACAAACGGCCTGGGTACCAGACACTAATGTCGCATCCCAGACATTTCTCATATGGACAGTTTGGAAAAGCGACTAATAATAAAGTCGATGACAAACTTTCCACGGCTTCTCCACCTCAGGTTTAATATTTTTCTATTATTTTTTATTTTTAGACTAATGTCAAACTATGACTATCTCAGTATAAGTAAATGATTCGTTATACAATAAAGGTAAATGTATTTTTAGAATTTTTCAAGAACTTAATTTCAAATTTTGTATTACAATATAAAAATAAATATCAATTCACAATGTAATAAATCACATGATATTTCGGAATAATATATAAATATTAGTTTTGAAGAAAGCTGTTAGTTTTCTATTTTACTCCATATCTTTACTTAATTTTGATGAAAATTTCGATAAATACTTTTGTGAGTTAGACCATCGATACTTATTCTAAATAATTAACTATATACACAGTGTCTCATCGGTTTTGTCATCTTTAATAACTTTTAATCCAGTGACTTCATTGCGATACTTTTTCTTAGATAACTTTTACAGTTTTGAGCTACGTTAAACCCTTATTTTTATTATTTGTTTTTTTTTATAAACAAAAATGAATAAAATTTTTAATTTTTTCAAAATTTTAAATTCATTATTTTAAATTCATTATTTTAGCTCTTTTCTTACAAACAATTTTGATGGGTTTTTAACAAGTTTCGGATAAATACTTACTGAGATATAAACATTTTAAAAAATTGAGTAAGCTTGCAGAATATATAAAGTATGCATTATAAATACAGTATATCAATTAAGGGTAATACAATAACTTTCTCAGAAACTATTGAATATTTTCAATTTTTTTAAAGAAAATTTGTTTGGTTCAACTCTATAATAATATGCATACATTAAAGTTATTTTATTTTTCATCTCTTCAGAGACAAAAACCTCAACTTTAATTTTTTTTTAATGGGAATCTTTGTTTTTGGTTTTATTATATGATATATAAAACGTTTTCAAATAATTTTGTTCTTATAAATTTTATTATCCGATAATCTATTTACATTTTAAAAATTTTTAATGGTCTAATATTAATATAGAAATTCATCATTAATTTGGTTTCCATAATACCGGAGGCAATAATAAACTATTTCAAAAATCTATTAATTATTATCGTTATTTAGTTTTGCGTCACGAGTGACAGATATGATAATAAGAATTGTCAAGAAAAACTTGCTTATGTGACATTTATTAGAAGATATCACAATTACTATATGTTAATAATCAAATTATCAATAGAAAATCGGTAGAAAATCTTTAACAAGGAATAATAGAAGAATGATTCATCAAATAAAAAATATTCCATATCGTTAAAACAGCATAGGCGTAATTTGAATAAAATGTTTGGATGATTTAATTATCTATTCGTCCTCTTAAAAGTATTTTTATTTAAATTAACATGTAATTTTCATAATTTTTGCGAGAGTTAAGGTAGAAATAAACGGCTTATCCTCCCCTAGATATCCATATTTTAATCTTATGCAAATTACAATATTATAGAAAATTAAAGTTTAGGTTTTTTGAATCTGATGGGTTGAAAAAAATTATGTAACTAAATATATTATTGTAATTTTTGTATTAAAATTTTTTTCCTTTACAAAATATAAAAATGTTTAATAGTTCCTAAGAAAATGAGTGTTTTATATATAATCGATTACCTATACCTATATACTGAAATTACTCTTTTAAAATAATTTTTAATATTTCACTTAAGTAAAATTAAAACTATATTAAAAATATTATTAATTTAAAAAAACTAAAAAATATTAAAAATATTAAACTCAAAAGCCACAAAAATATTATATAATATTTCACTTGATTTATTCAATAAATCACTATTACTTAACACAACTTTTCTTTGTTTACTTTGAATTCACAAACATTTTAAAGTGATATTTGTGTTTTTTTTTTATTATAATGGAAATATTAAAGCTCTCATATGTCAGGTGTTTTTTTTTTTAATCCAAATAAATTCAATAAATTGTTGGATTGAATCCAATGATACTTATAATATTATTAACTTACTATTAATATTATTATAACTATTTTGTGTATTTACTTTTATACTTTTTCAAAGCAAAACCTAATGAATTTTTAATTTTAATTTATGGAAATGATACACAAATGCCTAATTTTATAACTAATTTAATATAAATTCCATTACTCACGGACTATTAGAGAAATGTTTCTCAAACATTTTTATTAAAAGTAATTTTTAATTATCATTATTTAATCCTTAAATAAACATCAAGTTATTTTAAATATTTTGAATTTCATTTGTGTTAATAACGATAAATTATGAAATAATTTTCCTCTACAGTAAAGGTGTTTGTAAAAAATGTTTCATTTAAACAGCTTGAACGTTATTGAAATTCTCTGATTAACGAGACGGCAAAATGCGTATGCAATTTCACTACATTCCTATATAAGTGCCGTTCACAGACCAATTAACGCGACAAATTAAATTATTTCTTTACACCTTGTCACATAAGCTCGGTCGTTAACATTTCAAATAATATCTTAACCTTTCTGATCACCCACGCACGCCCACAGATATTATAAAAACGTTAAAGATACGAATATTTCATAGAATATTCGACAGACTGTGGCTTTTTNATTGAGAAATGTTAAAGATACGAATATTTCATAGAATATTCGACAGACTGTGGCTTTTTTTTAATATCCGATTGTTGGGTATTAAATTATTCTATGCAAACAAACTATTTGAAAAACTCACTTCTGTTCAAATAAAATGTGCGTATAAATAATGAATAATTCTAACCACAAATTATATTCAATGCAATTTTTATTTTTAGTTCTTATAAAAAGTTTTAAGTAAAAAAAACCAGTAGATAGTTTATATTCGCTATATAATATAACTTCTTAAAATGATTTTTAATTTAATATTTAATATAATTTTATTACAAGAATACGTAGTAGTAATTGGGTTTGTACAATGCCCCTTTATAGTATATTTAATATAGCAGTATTAATTTCATTTTTAAACAATATTTCCATGATATATTATTTGTTTAATCAGTTAATTAATTTCACGTAGAATTAGTATATTTAAATATCAGATAAATCATAAGAGCTATTATCAGTCAAGTTGCTTATAAAAATAATCATTATAAATGGTTAAAAGATTTATTTAAAATCTTTAAAATGATCTATTTAAAACTCTATATGAAAATTTTATAAATTAATCAATATTTTAGGAAAATATACACAGTATTTTTCAAACAAAAATCTTCAGCTATCTTATACATAGTATACTTATAATATTATAAACGTATTTAATATTAAAAAATAGTCCGTGTTTAAAATTTTTCATTTTATTAGGAGACTTTTGAATAGGTAAATAGTAAAGTCACTGTTTATAAAGTATACGAATATATATATTCTACATTTTCATTTCTAAATTTCTATTTCCCCCCCGAATAACTCAAGCGAAATAACTTATTTATTTATTATATGAAGACTTAAATAATTTTTACGTTTTTTTATTACAAAAATCTTGCTTCAAACTCGTAAAATAAATTATATTGCTAAATAATGAATAAGTTTTGATACTTACTATTAATTTTATGCTAATGCGAATTAATTTATTTGGTTTTTACAGTATAAAACATCACCGCAAAACAGTCCATGGAATTCTAGATGGTAATCATTAACTGGAAAAAACAAGATTGCGCTGACAGTGAGGCCTATGATACACCGCTATGTAAATAATCAATACCCTTTCCGTATACATATTATTATTATTAAAAACATTATATCTCCGACAGTTATGCCAAAAAATGAAAGTATTTAATTGTTTTTTTGTTATTTGTAATCATTAAATGTTTAATAGACTTAAGGAAAATTAAACATAGATAAATTTTCTTAACGATCTCTTTAGATGTTGTATTTGTAATCGGTACTAACTTTCAACACAAAATTTCTTTTAAATTCCGAGAAAGTATTACGAATAAGTTACTAAAAAAATATCTGATTTTTTAAAAGCTGAAACAAATGTTGTGAAACATTACCAAATTGTTCGTAATTCGCCCGTAATAATAAAATAACCAATAATTAATTATACTCAGTAATGGTATAAGTTAAGTAATAAATATGATAAAAATTTTATTGCAGGGCTTATTTATTTATCTATCAACAGTGTCTGAAAATTAAGTATAATCCATTTTTTTATTTATTGCAAAAAGTGAATATTTTAAATTAACATAATTATTTATTTTATTTATCAGTTAATATTTTTTTTAACAATTGAATCGTGTTTATAATCTCTACACTGAATCATCGATATTCTGTGATACTAATATAAGTTTTATTTTATTTATATGAAACCAGTAAATATTTTAAGAACTTTAAGAACACTTTAGGAATCACTAAAACTCACTACCAATCTGACTAGTTAATAAAGTTTTACGGTTCATCTCATACAACTGTGTTTTCGTTCGATATGCAGTGGTCAAATTACTGGAGGTGCTTCAGCATCCTTAGGCTCTAGTACCTTCTTTGAATTTTAATACCTATAGTTTCAACGAAGTACTTTTATTTATAAAAATTTCCCATCAGTTTTTTTCTTGTATTACGTTTACATTATACTAAATATACAGGCATTTCAATATTATGCTACAGATCAACCATAATTGTTAGTTCAGTTTTACAGTTATATATATATATATTATTTTGGAGGATTGGGGATGTGCAAGGAAGAGTCCTATCACACCTTTATATGTCTTAAACAATTTTAAGCACCTCCTGGATTATTTCTCTAATTTGCGTCACTGCCAATATAGTGAACAAAAGCAAAGGAATTTATTTTTGAAGTTCGGCTAGTTTACTGTATTATAAAATACTAAAAATCTATTTAACAAATTGTTAACATTAATTATTTTATTATAGAAAATCATACTCCCTAGGTCGCTATGATTAGAGTAGTCCGGTTTTTTAAAATTGATTTGTTTTTGCTAAGCGTTTCTCTTCTCATTATTTAATAATGGTATTGATTTTATAACATTATAAATTATTAAAATATAGCTTTTAAAGCTTATCAAATCATTCTAAATGAACCCAATCATAAATATAAATTTAATTTTAACTACTTTTAAATACATTATTTATAATAAATTAGGAAATTATAACAAGTGTCCGTTTGATTTTAATTTTCATAAAATACTCCTAGTACATTAAAGTAGATACCTTAAGTAAATGTAATAATGTGTTTAGTATTTAAGTAGTATATTATTCTAACGTAGTATAGTTTGAGGTAAATAATGTGATAAAAATCACGTAGCTTTTAATGTTAGTGTCGTGTTGTTTGTTTTAATTTTCTGTAGAATTTTTATTTGTAATAATTGTTATTACCTTTTTAAAGGCTTTTAGCTCAGTCTTTTGGGACTGATAGCCTTAATTACAAAGACACAAAAGTGAGACTGGATTCCCTACACCAGGGAATACAGATTTATAGATTAAGCTATACAATAAATAGTAGCACAAATAGGGAAGTAGTTAAGGGAAGTATTTTAATATCAAATTACGTAAGTTTTCCGTAAAAATTTTGAATTTTTGATACACTTTCTTATGATTTATTTTATAAAATGAGTTAGGTGATTGAGTCATTTAACATAATATACTAGCCAGGTATTTCATTTCAAATAAAGCTAATACTCAAATATTTGAAGATGCAAACTAATTGATTTAATTATTTATTTAGTTATTTATACTTATATCGTCTACTAATTAAATTGTTTAAATTATGAAAAATCATTAAAAATACATTGATTTTTCTTATAAAAAGAAAACAATGGATCTTAAAAAAACATAATCAAAAATATAAATTAATTATATTAATTATATTTTATAAACGTACGTGTTTTTTCTCAATTATTAAATAATTTTATAAGAATCTATATAACATCCAAAAATATTTTTCTTCAATTTTTAAAAAAAAATTTTAATTTAATGACTTTGAATTGTACCTTAATTAATTATAACATAATTAATAATGTTATTTTTGAAAAATTGATCTTTTTTTATATTGTTAAGAACAGTATTAAGTATAAACAAAATAATAGAATATATGTAATGTATTTTGTGATTTAATATATTAATACATACATTTATAATAGAGTATAAACTTTAAACCTTAAAACAAACGTATTTACTTTTGAATCTTTCAAATATTTTAACTAATCCAATAAAAATCTTGTATAAAGGAAATCATATATATATTAATTAATAATCGATTAAATTATTTTCATAAAGCAAAGATAAATGTCAATTTCACATAACTCACATAGGGTGACTTCACCATAACGAATGAATAGTTAAAAATTATTCAACTATTAAAGATCTTTATTAACTTATATTTTGATGTCACATTCATAATGTTAATAAATATTTGTTCTCTAGAAAATTCTCTATAATTTTAATGTGAAAATATTTATAACTAAAACAAAAATTTTAATTTATGTGTAATTTTGAAAATTGGAATTTTTCAGTTAATGAACAGTTAGGAAATTATATCTAAAATTATAATATTGTAGAAGAACTTCATTTAGATTTTTTTTTAAATAAAAACTGCTAGTAACACCTTATAAAAATCATCTTATACATTTTTTTAGTTAAAATCTTGTTACATTCTTTCACTGGCAGTGTTCATTCATTCATTTGTCAAGTTATCGTATAGTCATTTTATGAATAATTCTACTATTCAATAAAGATTTCTTATATTTCAAATTTTATTTAATGATTCTATATCATAATTTAACTACAACATTTAATTACGTATTAATATAATTGTTGGATATTTTAACTGATTTAAAATAAAAATTAATTAATTACATGTTAGTCATTTTAATAAAAAAATAATAAACTTCTTAATATTAAGATTGATTAAATAAATCTAAGGCGAATTTTATTTAATTTAAAACGGTAGTATCTGTAGTAAAAGTAAAAATTATTAAATTATGACTTATCTTTTATGACAGCATTAATAATTACAATAAAAAATTATTATAATAATTTAACATGACATTTCAATGTCATGTTATATTTTTTTAAACGCGTAAAACAAATTAAATTTTAATCATATAAATAATATTAAAATGAGAATACATATTAGATTTTCATTAATAACTATTGTGGAACAAGTTACCTTATTTAAACGCCCGTTACAAAAATTGGGTCCAAATGATTTCAAATTGCTTCTTTTTTATTTTATATTAGTTTTATTATATTTTAAATTCAAAAAATTTATTATTAATATTATAGATTGCTCACTGGCCGGTTTTTTGGTCAACGCGAAACAACTTTTCATAAAAGTAATAATAATAATATATGTCATTATGATAAGGCTATCTAAATGAGAAAAATTTGATTATTCGATAATCAAATGAATTTTAGCTTATTACAATTTAAATTTAACATAAAAACACAGTTCTTAAAGAGTATTCTTATTGAATGAAAATATTATTACAGTAATAAATAAAATTAATTTTATAATTTTGGAAGTGCAATAGGTTATTAATTTTTATTAATTTTGATTTCAGTGACGTAATTAGGATATCGTCCTGGGAGGTAATACATAAGACAATTGTTCACTAATCCCTACAAACGAAAAAACATATCTACACCCATGTCCCATTATTCTGATACGTTATTGCCAAAAACAAAAAAGTAGTAATAAATTCAATTAATAACTTCCATGAATAATATGCATGTTGATGATAAAAAAAATTTAAAATGTATCTTATGTAAAAATAATAACGCTATAATAAAATAATGTAATATACATTATATTACATTTGTCAAAGAAAACGCTATATTAATTCCCTGTACTAATTATTCCAATAATTAAAAATATTACGAAGTGCAGCTGTTAGATTATTCTACAATTGCAATTTAACATTTAAAAAATGTTTAATATAGTTACAAAATGTACAGTAAAAAAATTCACCGACAAAGTGGTATTGAACTGTCACCAATACAACACAACTATTAGCAATAACATCATGGGCTATAATTAAACACGTTGCCTTTGTACTGACATTCGTCCGATAACGCGATAACGAAAACGTAGCCAATGAGCCAATCTATAGAAATAATATTGTCTAACTATACTCAATGATAGTATTTAAAGTTAAATTCGTAGTGCATTTGAAGTTTTGCAAAATTAAATGTAAAACAAAATTAAATTATATACTCAAATAATACAAAAATTCGATGATTCAGTTTGGTTTTTATAACAAAATTGTTTTAATTAAAAATAAATTTATTAACATCTCGTTCTAAAAATAGTCCTTAAAAATAATCACACCAACCTAAAAGCTCCTAATTCTTAAATTAAAGAGACTCTGTATTCAATTTTTTTTACGTAGTTAATTGTAATTTCTTATGTTATTATTTCATTACTTATACGAAATTTTGTACAAGTAATTTTGTTTAATTTTATAATGGTTTTTATTTGGCATTTAAAATTAGAATTTTTAATGTCAGAATTTATGCAGTAACGAGAAAATTATTATTACTTAAATATAAATTTATGACAATAACAATAAATATTTAACATTCTATTTAAATAAACATGATTGTGTTGAACTAATGACAATAATGTAAAGTGAGAAATATTTGTTATAGTTTTTTAATATTAATATAACTCGACCAAATACCCACAATTTTATACTCTTTCTCTCAATAATTTAATATAATTATACAAAATAATGAGTTTTTCTTATACTAGAAAAACTAAAAGTTCGTAAATAGTTTTTCCACTCATTAATTCTAAATCATGTAATAATTTCACCATAAAAAAATAATTATAATAAATTTAAATTTGTTAATTCTAATAATTTTGTATTATACAGATTAAGGTTATTTTCTCTGTATCGTTGAATTATTATTATATATTCATATTATAAAATAACATGAAATGTTTTTTCAAACAATTACTACTTAATTATTGAGAGAAAGTAATGAAAAGACACTCGAGTATTAAAATTCTGAAATTTTATTCTTCAATTCATTCGCTATATAGTTTTTTACTGTAGTGGTTATCATAAAAAACAAGTAACAAATGTATTTTATTTTATTACAGAATGAGTTTTAAAAAGATCCTAATAACAAAACAACAAATTGATAGTAAACTAAATATGTGTTAATAAAACATTTTAATTTTAAATTTTCAAATATCTTTGCCAAGTCATATTTTTTTAAAACATTAAATCATTCATTTTAACCTTATGATATAAAATAAAAGTCTTGCAATTGCAAGTTTCTTTTGAGTGTCTTGTTTTTGCAAAAGCATACCATAGAATAATTTTAGTTAGAAAATAAGTCGATACATTTAATAATATAACTAAAAAAAAGTAACAATCCTATTTTTGAAAATGTGACAATAATATAATTATTATATATATGATAAATAATAACATATTAGTTTCACAATTTACTGATTTATTACTAACTATGAAATTCTAATTATTATTTTCAGAGTCGTAACTAGGTCTTGGCAAAACTGACCTAGGTCAGACGCACAACAAACAAAGGGGCATTAAACTCAAATTAAATTTACATATATATATATAGGGAAATACTTTTAACGCTAGCCACTCGATTTATCTTAAAATAATAATTTTTTATTTTTGTATTTTGTAAGTTACTCATGTATTTATATGTTATTAAATAATTTTTATGTCCATTCTTTATATATTATAGGGGTGTCAACTCTAAATTTTTTTAAGGCAACATACTTATTCTACTAGATTATTAAATAAAAAATGATCTAATCAAAAAAATGATTGGTCATTAGCAACTTTTCGTGTAATATTTGAAAGTTATTAACATTTTTTAATATAGACTGGAGGTGAAGAATTTCGCTATTTTATCCTTAATCATTTCTCGTATGCTCTCCTCTTATTTAGATGCAAAATTGTGAATATCTCCCGAAGTACTGATCCAAATGTTATTACCGATCAATCATTTTCTTAATAAGATTATTTTCAAATTATAGGCTAGTTAAATATGTATGATGTCATTAGAAAAAATAAAGTTCACACCTCTGTAATAAATAACAGATGAACATAAAAAATATCCAATAACAGATAAATGAAGATTCATATGTAGCTAATAAAAGCTATAATAAAATTCCCCAAAAAATTATTATTTTAATGGCTAACGTTAAAAGAATCACTCTATTTATATATATACATAGAGAGTTTTGACAAATCCAATAACTTTCCATTCAAGAATATTTTGTATCACTTTGTTTTTTATAATTTAAGCATTTTTGGACTACATTGATATCATATTTTGTACTATTTAATTTTAATTTTAAAATGTTTTCATCATTTCAAAATAACTATTTTTTAAACCTTTCTTATTAATTCTTATGATGAGTCGATAACAACTTAAGGATAAATATTTAATTAGTTATATGCATTTTTGTACATAGAGTAGGCATGTAATGTATGTATGACTATGCTATATACTCTATGTAATGAAATGTTTGTAACTCAATAAGTATTTATCCTTAAGTTGTAAGAAACCCATCAAAATTTTCTGTAAGAAATGAAAAACATGGCTATTTTTAAATTTTGAAAAATTTTATTTATTTTTTTTTTATTATTAGAGATAAATAATAAAAAATATACTTTTAATGAAGCCCAACAAAGGTAAATATTATTAAAAAAAAAAATAATAACTCAAAATATTTGTTGGATCACAAGTTTGATGTCAACACCTGGTGTCCCACTTTATATTTATAAAAGTGAAAATGTAATAAATGCTTAGGTGCGCTGTTGAAACTTACTACGGCTCTGATTATTTCATAGTATTGTTAATTTAATAATGTAATAATTATTTTATTATATTTAGATCTTAATAATATTACTTCATTTATTTGTAGTATAATCTTTAATTTTTAGATCAACTTCAGACAGACATTGATTAATCAAAAAATTAATACTTTTTTTTTTTTAAATATTTTTTTCTAATTATTTTTAATTTCAATTCCATGAAAAATTATATGTAGTGCTATTTTTAGCTCAGTGACATATTAAAAATATACATTTATACATACAACTTATATTCCCTATATATATATTAAATTATAACAAACTTCCTTTTTTTAAATATCCTAATGATTATAAAATATTTACTTGTCATATCTATCAACATATCCCAAAGTAACTATATCTTATCAAATATCCTAGTAGCACGGGGCAGTACCGGGAAGGGTTTAGAAATACCTGAATGATCAGTTAAACAGTTACAATAAGTTCCAAATTAATACACATGATTCCTAAAAGTTCCAACGGGTAGTAAGTTTTGCGACAATTGTCCGAGGACGAGTAGTTTTGGAAAAGATTCAAAATTTTCCATTTTGCTTCCTGTTTACTTTTATTAGAGAGGTTAAAGAATATTCTAAAACGTTTAATAGCAGCCTTTTTTTTAATGGTGGATATTAGGAAACTTTTTTATCTTCATATTTACTTATTTATTAGATATATTTATAAGATTTATTATACCATTTATTAAATACTCAACTTTCTGCTAAAGTAGCTAACAGGAACTTCCGAGGGAAGCTCAATGCTACTAGGACACTAATTAAATTAACTAATTAATTAATTATAATAATATTTACATTTCTTTTAACACATCCACATTGGCTATCAATATTTCGAACATTTTCCCACAAACATTTGCATATATCTAGTAAATAAAACAAACTCAAACTTTAAGTCTGAATAATTTAAATAGACTTATTAACTACAGTGTTAAATTTCAAATTATCTATTTTACCGAATTTAAAATTAAAGTTTTTGTACAAACCTTTATTTTTAATTCATATGTATGTATTTATTGAATATTTTAATAGTCTGAAGTTGATATTTTAATTATAATATTACACATATGTACCACACTATACATTATTAGTATATACAGTACATACATACTATACAAAATGTAAAGGAGTATGTATATACAAAATATACAGTATTTATATATTGTTATTATAGATAATTTTAATAATAATTATTTATTACATAAATTTTACGTTATTTTTAAAAATGTTTACGTATCTGTGATTGCAAGGTATTGTTTCGATTATATGTTTAATTGAAATGTTCGGCGGTGAGGGTATAGTTAAATAACAAATTGTGTACTATGCAATGAGAGCATACGTTTTATTATATTTTAAGTAGCTGAGTATATATATTTACATTTTTACTATAAGATCTAAAAGTTGTAATTTTAGATTTAATAGATATATTGTATAATGTTCATTATTAATGTAATATAAAACTATATTTATATATCTTTAATTACTATTTTTGTTTGTCCTAATTATACATTTATGTGGCAGAAATATATTTCATTATCAGTAATATAGTGACAATATGTTTTAATGGGAATATATTAAATAAAATCATGATTTCTGTGTATTCATCATGTAAAATTTTATATTAACATTTATTAATACTGTTGAACTGAAAATGTATAAAACTGAATGAGTTACTGATCCATTTATTTTATAATTCTTGTATTCTTCTTGTTTAGCTATTTTTTCATTATTCTTAAGTTACTTGTAATAAAACTCAATATTATTAACATTGTACTCATAAGGCTTCATTTGTTTGCGTAATAAATTTAACCTGTTAGCTAATTTACTATGTTATTAATTTATTTTATATTTAGGCTTATACTAAATCTAATCTCACTCCTATTTAAAATAGAAAAAGTATTATATTTTATACTTATTTTGTTTTACTATTGAGTCTATATTCATTTATCCCAAAAGTTATTAACTTTTATAGTTTGAGAAAGTGTATTTATTAAAAAAATTATTTATTGTCTTCACCAAATTCGTATATTAATATTTAATTATAATAAAATATTATCTCTATACATATATTTATAACATAATAAAAAATTTTTTTTTTCTTTTCAAATGAAAAAAAAATGTTATATTCACCAGATAATTATTATTATTATGGAGATATAACACTTATTTCCCTTTTTAGCAGAACATTAGTATGTTCATAGGATCTACAAATTATAGGTTTATTATAAATTGTAAATCAATTTTGTAAAATTTTTCTAAAAATAAATAATTTTTAAGACCATATTTATTCAAGTAGCGTAAATTAGTAAGGACTATTAAGATTTTTTTGGTAGCTCATTGACACAATTTGGACCTAATAGTCTTATTTAAATTGTTTAATATTCATTTAACAGTGCGTGTATTATTTTGTACTTTTTCGAATAATTGAACTCATTGAATAAATTAACTCAGAAAATTTTTCTTTATTAATTAAAATGGGAGCATGAAATTTGAAATTTAAATTCTAATTTTTTTATAATCATATTTTGGTTATAATTCTATCATATTTAAATGATAATTGAGTTATTTTACATAAATACACTACAGTTAAACTAAACTTAACTTCGTTTATGTTATAACTAAATTTTTATTATAAAAATTATAATAATAATTAAATAAGATATTTAAAAATATATATTTTTATAAATTATTTTTTTAGTATTATTTATTTTCACTTTAATTTCTGATCATTATATAGTAAGTGAAACATACATTTCATGACTTTTATGGTTTATTTATTGATTTGAAAAACTCAAAAAAAAAACACATGTTGACACAATAAGAAGAATTGTTTGTTGTAACAATTGTAGTTAATAATTTTCTTACTTGGTTGTTACATAACGAATTCCTTTTTGGCACTAAATACTCGATCTGTTTATAGTGTTCGCCCATAAAGCTTTTGCATACAACTTCTGTATTTGGATATCCATTTAATTTATAAGACGCATTTACAAGTATTTTGGTTAATATTTTATTAATCATAAATTCAACAAATATAGACATAAAAAGGAATTTAATTACTGTCAGATTTCAATCTATAATGATTCTCTCTATGCCTGGGTCTGACTTTATTGATTTTTTTATAAAATAATTTCAATTTTATATATTTTTCGACTAAATAAACATGGTTGCTTCTCTAAAAATACCTTTGTTACTCCCCTGTGTTTAACATTTTTGACGGTTAGACGTACCTATACACATTCTGAATACTTTATTATGTAGTTCATATAAAAATCAAATAAATAATAATGTATTTAAATTTTATGGGAGACAGAATGACATGGAGTAGAAAAATTATAAGTAACACTTGCCGATTGAATATTTTATGTATTTTATAAATTCTGGTTTATATAATTTAAATAATATATATATACATTATATCTATGTATATGTATATAATGAATTTATAAATTTTGTTAGTTATTCCAAACACTTCATCAGACAGTACAAATTTGTATTAATAGTCTCGGAAACTTGAAAATGTAATTTAACTGGAGTTATAGTGTTGGGGAGTTAGGCGGTATATTCTCTCCTATCACGAAAAATATTTTTACTTTACTGTATATTCCAACAACAAATTTGTACTAACTTGGATCCTTTTAAAATGGGTCAATCAAAATGTATATATGCATATAAATTAGGGATATATTAAATATTCGGAAACTAATAGGTATCCGACATATTCTACTGATATTTTGTCAGTAATTTATGACATAATAAATCACCTATTTTAAGTAATGTATCAAGCGGCAGTCGATTAGTTCAAGAGTTTAATAAAAGTTCAGAACGTAGTAAAAGACGTAAAGTCGGAACTTTATTTCTATTTCTTCTAATTTCTACAAACTACTCTTTAAAAATAATAACAGTAATAAAAGATAATCTTAATTGGATTATATTAATCTGATAAATAAACTATTTAATTAAATAGTATTTATCAGTTGGATTAACAATTTTTTAATACATATAACTTTTTTTACTATAAATTGTAATAATTTAAAAAAAAATGTTGCCAAAAAAAAATTATTTTTAAATAATTTTTACAAGAATATAGAAATTTTCGTAAACAAAAATATCAATTTATGTTTCAATGGTCATATATCTTGGGTAATTTTTATTTAATTCAAATTTTGTAATTTTAAAAAAAATGTTGACATATTTTGCCTTAATATTTTTTGCTTTCATGCCACTGTGGGGTGCTAGAACTCTTAAATGTAAAGTGCAATAATTATAATGTATCTTATGAATTTTCTTTCTAGATATGAGCATTTATGACGCCGCATTTAAAATGTTAAAATATAGTAAAAAATATTTTTTTTTGCAATTATTAGTTAATTCCTTTAACATTAATCTACCTCAACATGGTGGATGATTAATAACACACATTGACAGGGAGTTTCGTTTAACGTTACGACATCTAGCGGAGCTTTACTTAAAAATTATTGACTGATAATTGAAATTACCGTTTAGTCTTTGATTTATTAACTTTAAATCTTTTCTCGTGTTTTATTATTATCATATTGAAATTAATTTAATTACCAAGATGTATTTATTCATCTAGAGTATTGCAAATTCATCCACATTTCTTGCATTATGCTGTCAATTGTATTGGATGTTGCTAGACTATAAATAGTCATTAATATTTAAAAACTATTATTAATATTTTGCAAATTTCTAAAATTTAATAAATATTTTTGAATGCTTGTTTATTTATAGACAAATTCGCAATTTTATTATTCTTCGTGTAAGTACCTATATATTTGAAGTTTTAGTAGTTCACATTTTATTTGTTTGTCGCAAAAAAAATAATAGGTAGATTGATTAATTAGTTAAGTTATTCTTATAAGAGTACATAGAAATAATAAATGAAGGAACACATATTTTTATCTATTGTATATGATCAATTTTTATATCATACACGTTTCCAATACATACTCTATAAATACTTTTTTCGTTTAGCATTATTAAAAATTAAGAAGCATTATATTATAGATGTTTAGTGTTTTATTATGTGCATCTTAGGTCTAGGCTTTTTTTTTAATATGTCAAACTTGTATTTCTATCTTTTCTAATAAAATAAATTGAAAATCAAAAATATAATACATAATATAATTATAAAAAGTCAGTCAGATTTGAGTAATAATGACAATCTTAAAACATTTTTTTAGACACATTGCACAGAAGAGAATAACAATTTAAACAAGTCATTTGAAAATTGAGACTATGTATCCATAATTTACTAAATTGTTTTATTTAGACTTGATTTGTCAATTTGAACGTTTTTTACTAGAATAATTTCAAATTAAAGTGACCATAAAAATACAATATATATAAAAAATATAAAAATATAACTGTTGTGCAAATGTATTATTAAAAATGAAATATTAGTTTATCACATATTTAAAACATTGAGTTTTACGTTAAATCTTAGGTTTAAAAATGATTTAAACCATAATCCAAAATAAATATAACTTTAAAGTATAGAACCACTACATTATATTTTATAATAAGAAAGACTGAAGTTATTTGTGGGCCTAGGCACATTTTTCATAAGCTCTCTTTATCGAGCTTTCCCAAAATTCAGACTATGACATAGTTATGTAATCAACATAATACTATAACAAAGATACTGAATAAAATAAAATTCTTCAATAATAAGTTTATTGATCCTCAATTTCTCATTGGCCTTGAGTATAGTGCCAAACAATGCAAGCCTCTATTTTATGTATAACTATTGATAAATATTATTGGTAGCAATTAGAATTAATTAAAATTTTTAAATTTGTAAAGATCAAATAGTAGTTATTTTATCAATTGTTTTTACTTGTTTGTACTAATTTTATATATGTTGTGACAGTTTATTTAAAGTAAAAATGTTCAAAACATCAAGCCACAAATAAATAATTATATTACAACAAAAAAAATTTTTGACAGAACCTCAAAAAATTTATTTTATAACTAGTATTAAGAGAATAAAAATTACATTTTTGCATAGTAATATTAACAAAACTATGACTTATAATACCCTAGAAATGTTGTTTGATAAATTAAGTTAATAACAGTGTAATCTAAAAGATAAGTTATTAATAAGGTCAAAATTAAAAAATTTAAATATAAATTATTTTAATTCTTACTTTAAATAAAAGTATTTTATTGAAACTTCCAGAGGTTGGATACAATCAGGGATAATTATGGTATAGATTACCAGGTCAAAAATTAATTTTATAAAGTACTACTATACTTTTAATTTTCTAGTGTAAATCCCTTTTATAGTAATACCAGTTAAAACAGTTAAGCAACTAGATAGCATTCTTTATTTGTGCAAGCCTGATTTTAAGCCATAATTTTATTTAAAATAAATATCAAATACTATTATTCTTCAAAAATAGTTTATTAATAACTAATTAAAAAAATTGTATTATTAAATAAATTATAATAGTTTTATAAATTTTAAATGTTTTTTAGGATTTATATTGCTAGAAAGTTTTTAAACCATGAATGATATATATGATTTGGATAATAATTCTGGAAACTTAAGCATTTCACAAAAATACAGTGTTAACGATTATTGTAGATTATGTGCGAGCAAACACAATCACATGATACCTATATACATCGATGAAGGCATTCATCATAAGCTTGAAAAAAAATTGAGAACTCATCTACCTTTTCTTAATGTATAGGAAATCAATGTTCAAACTGGTTTTCATATAAATCCTTCATTTATATTAATTTATACAGGTGCAACAAAATGATTTATTACCGCAACATATATGTTACCATTGTGCATCAACTATTTTAGTTTGGGATAAATTGTATGAGAGTTGTGCAGATGCTGATTATAAACTAAAAGGTATGTTTGAAGTGGTTATTTCAAATGAACAACTGCTATGCAAGGTAAATATCATTATATAGTGTTCAATTGTTTTTTAATAATAAATATATTTTATAGCATGAATATATATTTTAGGATAAGCAAGAAGACTTTTGTGTTGCAAATGCACTTAGTAGGTAAGGCATTTTTATTTGATTGGTCTTGTGATTAGTAATAGAAATAATTCCAAAATCTATACTTAGAGAGTAAAGAATAATACCATAAAAGTAAATTAACATTGTGAGGACTTTAATTATAGTGGATATTGGAAATTGTGTTATAATTTAATGTTTTGAACTTGGTCAAATATTTCATGCTAATTGGAGATCTGAAATTTATATTAAGATTATTATTGTTTTATAAATTAAAACTTTTAAAAATTATATTGAGTATTGAATGTTTTAAAATGTATTTATTATGTAAATTTGAATATATTGAAACTGACACTTAATAATATTTAACTTTTTCTTTCTTCTAAAGGATCAAAGTAACTTAGCTGTGCTTATTATTAATAAATTCATCGTTAGAAAAATTTACTTAAATATTAATAATTAGCTATGTAAAATTAATTAAAATGTTTATAATAGTAGATATATTTTTAAAAAAATTTAATTTGAACAATGTTAATAAAATTTAGTCTTGTACGGTTGTCTCATTAATTAAAATATTAAGGTTTAACATATAGATCTTTCATTATTTAGATACTATATGATGTTAATTAATGTTAGAGACTCTATAATGTATTTTTTTTTTAGCTAGCATAAAATATTTTTTTGCCTTTTATAAAAATAACTATTGAAATTTTAATTTAATATTACTAATTTTAATTGAGTAATCCTAATTATCAAAAGTAATATACTTTTTTATGTAGTCACATATTTTAATTTTTAATTTTTGAAAAATAAATTAAGTTGATTTACATTGTAATAAATTACTTAGTGTTTTCAATTTCTTTGTTAATAAATGAGTTTCTATATAATCATCATATATTATCAAAAAAAATAATATTTAATTGGTTAAATAGCATTTGTTTTAGCATTATCTTCTACTTATATTTATAAATAAATATTAAATTAATCATAATTGACAAAATTTATTAATGATATAAATCTTAAAATAAAATTAAGTAATTCTTAAAAGTGTAAATTACATTAGTTAAGAAAAATTATTAATGAATTCATTTAAAAATAATTTTAGGTATATAATAACTTATTAATGAACTCATTAGTGTTTTAACATTGTTACTTCAACTTGCATGTATGTGCATGAGTGCATGTATGTGTCACAATTTAACAATTAATATAAAAACATAAGTGAATAAACATTTTGTGTAGTTTTCAAAATATCTGATTTTCTAATAATAAAATATTATTTTAATAATTAATTTTTTTTTTAATAAAACTAATTTTTTAAGACACTTTGATATAAAAATTTAATTAATGAAGTATTAAATTTATAAAGAAGTTGTATATATCTAGTATTATAATATATATTGAAATTAAAAAAAAAATTTTCATTTTACCTTTTATTTTCTTCCAGTGAATTGACTAAAGATAACTTTTTTGATTGTGAAAGAAAAAATATTTATACTGATTCACCCTTGGAAGATTTAATTTCATTAACTGATGTAAATAGCAATGTAACTGACTTTAATAACCAGTTTGAACAGTTTAAGAACATTTGTTATAATGAACGAGTAGATATAGATCAACCTGAACATATTGATATAACTTCTTTAATATCTAATAATGATAGTATAATGAACTCCATCAAAAATCCTTTAAATGACTCAAATGAAAGTATTAAATATGAAAACAAAAAGGACAGTACTAGTTTATTTATGAATGAAAAACAGCAAATACAAGAAACATCATGTCATATATGCAAAATTGTATTTAAATCACGGTATAATCTAATACGTCATTTTCAAAAAAGACATCCTGAATGTAAAACATATGAGTGTGACCTTTGTCTCATTAGTTTTTCTACAATTGACAAGTTCAAGGAGCACTTAAAATACATGCATTCCAGTGACTGTGTATTTGATGTAATCAAGAATAATGTGGAAGATTCCAAACAAGTTAGGTTTGCATGTGATGTTTGTGGTAACATGTATAAAAACAAAGCATCAGCTATGAACCATCTATTGACTCACACGTCGAATAAAACTGTTATGTGCCAGCTGTGCAATTTTATGTGTTACACTAAACAGCAGCTAGCTGTTCATCAAGCTAAGCATGACAAACGATTTATATGTGACATATGCAATAAACGTTTTGCACAAAAATCGCAGCTAGATACACACATTAAAGCAGTCCATTACAACCAACGCCCATTTTCTTGCTCATTATGTACAAAATCTTTCAAAACCAAAGGCTCTCACGACGCCCATATGATAGTACATACAGATACACGTTTTCATCAATGTCCATACTGCGATAAAAAATGTCGTAAGCGGTATGATCTTACATTGCATATTCGAACACACACGGGTGAAAAACCATTCAAGTGCAGTGTTTGTGGACGTGGGTTTGTGCAGATGTGTGATACTCGCAAACACGAAATGCTCCATTACAGACCAGACAAAAAAAAGTTTTATCCAGTTACTGTAGCAGTTGTTGAAAAAACAATAAAAGATTTTCCTTAAAGTTTTTTTTCCTAAAAATTGAAATGGTTTATTAGTCTATATTATTAATAACAATTTTTACTAGAAGTTACTCTAAATTATGTAATTGGTTTTAATTCATAAAATATTGCATTTATAATTTTATTTTTAATTGTTTAATTGTGTAATTTTTTTTTTTTATAATTAATAAAAAAATGTACTAATACATCTTTAGGTATTTTAGATAATAAATATTGATTAAATATTAATTTAGTGTTTATATATTTTGGATCCATCCCTTATATTTTGTAAGTACATCAAATTTATGTTATCAATAGAAAATTTTGAAATTGTATTTTAGTTATTAACATAAAATAATTCGAAACTAAACGCTATTAATGTACTTTTCAACTTTCTCGTCCTATTATTTGGATATTTTTTATTCTGAAATTTTGGTTTAATAGTTTATATAGATCAGACATTATTCTAGTTAAATTTATTTTTTAACATGTTAATTATAACACATTAGTCATATATGTATGTTGTCTTAAAATAAAAGAAAGGGTGATATGCTTTATTGAGTAATAGAATTATATGTATCCAAAGAAAGCAAAAAAAAATCTCAATATATTATTTTAAAAATCAAGTAGCCAGTATATAATTATACCGTATAATCACCCATATATTATACTACCTGTATAATAATTTCATACTATCAATTCATAATTAAAGATTTACGTTCACTAAAAATTAAAAAAAACAGTAATTCGTTTACTGACTTTATTTATAGTCTGGGTTATAAGAAATCAATCGTTTGATAAATTAATAATTGTTTATGACTACACAATTACTCAGTATTGAAAATAAAAATTTCTCAGTATTCAGAAAATGACATTTTGATAACAACTTTTGGACTGGTATTTCAAAAGTAATGACAATTTTAAATTATAAACTTGAAATGGTAGCATGACTTTAATATTATTTAGTCGATTGTAAATATCCTGCCTCCCACATATAATATATACAAATAAATATGTTTGTTGCATTTTTAAGCATTTAAGTCGACATCCCTATAAGTTATAAAGGTGATACTAAAAGTAATTAGAAGCTAATAAAACAAGACATATATATATAACTAAGGAATCCAATTTTTTTTTAATATTGTATATATTTTGCGATTAATTAAGTATTATCGTTGACTATATCAATATTATATATGGGGCAAATATTTATAAACAATATATTATTCAGTGGCGTAGATACGATTATTTTCTAGGATGGTTTATTTCATATTAAATTTTTGATTAATTAATATTTAAAGATGTATTATTTTATATAAAATTAATTGATAATATTATTAACAATATGTAAAAAAATAATGATAAAAAATAATTTTAATTCGTACCTCTACTTTATTTATAAATAATTTTTTTTTTGGATCTGGGTGGGTTTTAACCCCTTAAACCCCCCTGTATCTACGCCACTGTATTGATTTACTAAAAATTTTTAGACCCGGGTCAGTGACAATGTCCATTGCTCATGTCCACGACCCGTCTATTTAGAAACTGACCGGAGTAGTTCAGGTCGGTCCACACATAAGAAACAATGTAGAAAACAATAATTATAAAGTTATAAACCCTGTTAATTCTAATAAGTCGTTTTTCTCGACTTCATAGAAAAAAAATTTAAATAAACTTAACTTTATATTTATTATACGTTAAATTCATATAATTTTTATGTAAATCGGTGGCCTAATCACTCTGACATTTTTTACAAATTAATAACTGTGTAAAATGGAAATTAAAAAAATGGGTGCACATATAAAGTTTCAAATTTGATTTTTGGCGAGAAGTTGTTGTGCCCTAACCACTTTTTCATGATTTCAGAAAACGCACAAAATTAAAAATAAATAAATTTCTTTTTAATAGTTATTCATGTTTAAACTCAAAATAAATATTTTCAAAAAAAAAATTCGAGGTATAGGTTCCTAATCATCTATTTCTTAATACATCAATGCAATTTACACTACTTTCTGAAAACAAGAGTAAATCTATACTGCCGGTACGCAAATACATAAGTAGGGGAACATTAGAGTGGTACTATATTTTCAATGTTATTTTTTTACCAGAACGTTCCCTATAATTATTCTATGTGTTATAAAAATAAGTTTTGTGATAATCAAATAATTATTTTTCTATGTGTCGCAAGGGGTTGAATTTTCATAAATGGGGATGCAAATATAGTTTTTAATGCATAACTTGGTAAATTTTACTTTTATCGCAAAAATGTATAAAACAAAATTTATTTAAAAATTATTATTGTTATTATTATTATGAAATAAATATATTATATACAAATAACAATTTTTTATTTCATTTTAGATTATAAGTTTATTAAAGAAAATTGGTACAATTATAATATTTAAAGTTACTGTTCATAAATTATTAATGTAGGTTAATTTTTAACGTGAATGGATTACGGCTATTCTAATGCCCATTGACTATAACTTTTTTCTTGGGAAAACACTGTTGTATTGAAAAATGTTGGTCCATCATTTTTGTGGCGCATTTCTTTTTCATTTTTCTAAAAAAAAAAATTATAAATTTAATAACAATAAACGTTATGGCAATCTAATTAATTAAACTAACATTAATTTGAAGCCTGTCCTCGGACTAAGATTTGATCCATCGATCGACTATTTCATTACTTATGGAATTACTTTCATCTTTTGGAATAATAACGCACAATTCTTTGTCGTTCAAACTTCTTATAAAATTAACCATTTCATCATCATTTGAATGTTGAATTTTAGGTCCTGTCTATTTTCCATCAACATATTGTATGATGCGGTCTATTTGATAGCATAATAGTAAACGCGTTTTATTTTTCTTAATATTGCATTATTAATAGTACACTGTAAGTCAATAAGTCTATTAATGTTTTTGTTATTCAATAAAACTCGATACCCATCAAACATCCTGGATTCTAATACTAAATCCATGGTATCACGGTATAATACGTTGAATATTTTAAAATCAACATTTTGATATAACACAATGTTTTGAGATAATTGTAAAAATAATAATATTTTACCCATCATGCCATAAATAATATTTATATGTCTGCTTACATACTAATATGTCGTGAGGAAGTAGTAATGTATACCTTTATATCGAAGTTTTTCTATGGATTCAGGCCAACTTGCAAAAAAAATTTTTTCACTGAACGCAATGGTGTAACTTGAACTGTCAATCATCTCTATTAATGGTGTTGCTGTGATATAAATGTAGCGCTGTTTTTTTATGGTTTGGTAGCGATATTATTCATGAGTAGAGTTTTCTTAGAGCTGATGGTTCTTGATAACACTCTGACTTTCAATCAAAGATTGAAAATCAAGGATTTCACGCTCATTTATGCGAAAAATCATACGTTTTTAAAGGGGGTCAGTAAATCACAGAACACATATCCTTATAAAATAGTCTTTTCCTTCACCACATAATCATTTCTATCTCATAATTACTTATGAATTACAATTTAACTGGTAATTTTTAATAAACTATATATTTTTATAGTATATGTCCCCTAGGGTGGTCCTTAACAACATGGGTCTATCATTTCTCGTGCTGCAGAGGGGTTGAATTTTCATAAATGAGAATGCAAAATTAGTTTTTAACGCATAACTTGGTAAATTTTACTTTTATCGCAAAAATTTATAAAACAAAATTTATTTAAAAATTAATTTTACAAAAAAAATTTCTTGACTTTTTACTGTTAATTGTATATTTTATGAGATAATTAACAAAACATGAATACGCTGTTTTTCCCAATTTCCTTTGAAATTGTTAAGTTTTAAAAAACTTCCTCTTTATATAATTCTGACTCTACTAACATAAACATAATATAAAACTAAAAATAAATAATTATTATATATAAATGGATTAGAATGTAGCAATGAATTTCCATCAAAGTAATTTTCATTGCATCAGGAAATTTTTTCTTTCCAGCGTTATAAATTAGCATTATGAAAGTAGTCTGACAATTAGACAGACAATGACATTAGATAGTATAATAATTGTGATTTTTTTTTAGTTAACATGATTTGCATTTATAAAATTTGCACTTTGCCCTATAATTTTATACTTCGCCGAAGTTAACTTAAACATTGAGACAGCCATTATTATTACGATAACACTTTTTTTCTGTTATTGTGATATCATTAATTCAAATATAACTGTTTCATATGATTGTTATTTCTAGTTATTATACATTTTAAAATATTTTTTATTTCATTAATTTTTTTAATATTATAATGGATACAAGGTCAAAGAACAAAATTTATTTAATTAATTACGATGAAAATGAAATTGTTGGATCAAAATTACCATAAAATATTTAAGTGTTAAGAGTTCTTTTTTATAATATGAGAAAAGTAAAACTAAACTTGCGAACTAATGCTCATTTGGTTGTTAAAGAAGTTGAAGTATTTTAGGAAAAAGCTAGAATTCCAGTAAGAAAATTTCAACGAAGCATAGAAAAATTGGAGTCACTACATACAGAATGTAGAAATTTAAGCAAAAGTTCTAAAAGGACTACAACGAGCCATTAGAATAATGAAAATTTTTATTGAAAAATTCAATGATTTATTCGACATATCACATGCGAACGCAATGGAAATTATGACAATTGAAGAAGATAAATTATTCTTAACATGTCAGCGAGATAAACAAAGAAAAGGTTGTATGGCTAGTTCTGATTATAATTTAAACTTATGCGAAAAATATGAACTTTTCTTCATCGCCTTAATCCCAACTACTTGGGGTTGGCCACCCTTATCCTAAATTTCCACTTAACACGATCTCCTACATCCTCTACGCTCACATCTGTTGTCCTCAAATCGCATTTAATAACATCTCTCCATCTCTTTTTCGTCTTCCTCTACCTCCTCTTCCTTCAACATTCATTTCTTGAATTCTCATTCATTTCTCTTCTCATAACATAACCAAATTATCGAAGTCTATTTTCTCTCATCCTAACCACGATTGACGCTACACCTATACTCCCTCTTATATGCTCATTTCTTATCTTATCTTTTCTAGTCACTCCACTCATCCATCCAAGCATTCTCATCTCTACTACACTCATTCTCTGCTCTACTTTCTTATCAAACGCCCAACACTGAACCATACATCATAGCTGGTCACTGTATAGTCTTGTAGAATTTACCTTTCACCCTC